TTAAAAATATTATTGGTTTATGTGAATGTGAAAAATAATTGTTGGCTTCTGGTAGGTTTTGGTCACAGACCCAGAAAAACTGGAGGCTATCAGGGACCGTGAAGCTGACATCACTAAGGAACGAGTTCAGAAGATTTTGGCTGCTGGTGCCAATGTTATTTTGTGCTCTGGTGGTATTGATGATCTTTGCCTGAAGGTATGTGCTTAATGCTTTTTTGAGTTTACCCTCTTAAGTTATCATCATTCTAAAAATATCCTTCTTGTTTCAGTATTTTGTTGAAGCTGGTGCCATGGCTGTCCGTAGAGTCAAGAAGTCAGATCTCAAGAGGATAGCAAAGGCTACTGGAGCTCATTTTTTGACCTCCCTCACCAACATGGATGGTTAGTATTCAAAATATTGAAAAGGAGAATTTGGTTTTATTCAGGTTAAGGTCTAAGGTCTAAAGTATCATTTCTTTGTTTTGTGCAGGTGAAGAAAGCTTTGAGGCCAGTTCTGTTGGTGAAGCTGCTGAAGTTGTTCAGGATATGATTTGCGACGATGAGCTTATTCTTATTAAAGGGTAAGTGCTCAGTCTCAGTTAGGCGTAATGTGTCCATTACCACAACCCTTATTTTTAACATTAATATTTCTGTTGTAGACCTAAAGCAAGGACAGCAAGCTCAATCATTCTGAGAGGTCCCAATGATTTCTATTGTGATGAAATGGAACGCTCTATTCACGATTCTTTATGTGTCGTTAAGAGGGTCCTGGAGAGCAAGGCAGTTGTAGCTGGTGGAGGAGCTGTTGAAGCAGCTTTGTCTATTTATCTTGAAAACTTTGCTACCTCTCTGGTAATTACTCTTTAATATTACCTTTGTTTTTGTTGAAGTGTTTAGTTGAGTGCGTTTGTCAGTTCTAAATGTTTTTGTAATTACAGAGCTCTCGGGAACAGTTGGCCATTGCTGAATTTGCCAAATCACTTCTTGTTATTCCTAAGACATTGTCTGTGAATGCTGCCCAAGATGCTACAGACCTTGTGGCCAAACTTCGGTCGTACCACAATTCATCTCAAACTAAAGTTGACCATGCTAACTTGAAATGGTATGCATTTTTTAACCAAGTTCTTTGAACTTTATAAGGTTTATCAGCATTTCTTAATAATTTTCTTTTTGTAGGATTGGTCTTGACCTAACAGAGGGAGTAGTAAGAGATAACCGCAAGGCCACCTCTGAAGCTGCCAGTACAATTCTAAGGATTGGTGGTATGATGAAGCTTCAACTCCCGGAACAGCTATCATACATACAAGCATATGGAGCTGCTGAACTATAGTTTTAAGAAAAAAACAGTTT